TATGTAAAAACAAGCTCATATCATAGCAACTGCAGTGAATATAAATTCTGCACAGTGGGATTCCAGGGCGTCATTAAACAGCTGCTTTCTCTCTCAGCTGATGGCAGGTGAAGATGGAACCTGCAGCTATTTGAGTTTTCATGTATTTTCACGCAGCAACACCCACACTTCACACAGTTTATGTCATAGAATTTTCATACATTTTGAATATCAAAAATATTTTTCAAAATGATCCACTGATTAAAGGTCAAATCACAAAAATATAAATGTCAGCACAGAACTTTGAAGATGCAAATCCAGGGACAGTTATAACTATTTATGAAAAGTGCATGAACGCCATAAAAGGGAAAAAATAAATAAATAAAAATGCACTGAAGCCACTATCTACTGCCACTATCTCCTATTGACTGTCCTCTGTGCGTACAATACAACAATGTGTCTCATGCAGTCAAAGAACAACATAAGACTGCACAATGAACCAGGCACTTAATGAGAAACAGGGTATTTATTGCACTCACTAAAAAACAGAAAAACCTGAATGCACTCCTTGTGTGCAGCTACAGTGCAACAAAATCATGTTGATGATTGCAGCAGAGGACCAGACAAGAGGAAGGAGGTTTTCTTAAGTTGATGAATGGTGAGTTTGGTGCCCCAAATGAGCCATAAGTAATCCAGATTCTGATTAAAGCTTTGTCAGGCTATTGGCTTTTCACCAGCTTGTGTGAGTGCCCCTGACCCCACTGAGTTATGTTCTGTGGACAACATTAAGTGAGGATGATTCTCTTTCTTCACAAGTGACTGGTAGCAATTTATATTTTATAGAGCCACAGGGACATTTAACTGGCGTCGTGTGCCATTTAGTGCTACTTATCCAAACAAAAAAGATTTAATGACTTATCCATCAAATCTCACAGGCAGAAATGACTTTGAAGGTTTATTTTTTCGAGCATAAACACATCTGCGATAGAACGGCGAGGTGCGTGTTTCATGTTTGATCTGGAAGTGTCAAGCAAACACATGATTTTTTTTTCTGCATTCTATATCAGTCACTGTGGAAACACAGGTAAAGCCACCAGTGCTGTGGCGAAGCATTGACAAAGGCTGTCAGGTTTTCAGGCTAATTAAAACCTCAGCTTTACTCTGTTCCCTGATCACTCCTCACAAAGACCCTTGAGTGGCATCAATGAGCACGCTCAGGCTTAAGTGAATGTTTACCTCCCCTAATGACTATCTGTCTCGGTCCTCTCTGCTACTCGTTGAGGTTACACAGACTCATGCAGAGACGAGACCTCAGCCCGAGGTCTGTGTACCAGCTGTTTGATGACACAAAACTATTTGCAGGTTGTTATTATTTTACTGTGTGTAATGATTGCCGGACAGCAGTGGCTCACTATGTTGCTTGAGACAAAAGGAGAATGTTAGTTGGAGCCTTTTGCCCTCTCTGCTCGGAGCTGCGTGTCCGTTCTGTCGTAAAAAATTCAAGTCAGGCGGACGGAGGAATCCGAACTGCCAACGTGTGTGAGTGCGAGAGTGAATTGCTCTTTATCTGTGTTTACGCTGTGATGGAACGATGGCCTGCTCTGGGTGTTTTCTTGCCAGCTGCTCCATTTCAAGCCGGGACACGCTATACACACCTAAATAATGAAATCGGTGGTTTACCAGTAAATCCTTGCTGGTTAGGTAATCTGGAGCTGACAGAATGAACTCCAGGTTTTATGAAACACCAACGTGAATGTATTTGTAATTAAAGTATGGCATTAAATTAACCTCTCATAATTAAAAATCCTGAATTAGTTAAGCATAGTACAAAAATCAATTGCTACTCTACTTTTACCTAAGGCTATGCATCAGATTTTATAAGCTGTTTGGGTTTTTAGTATAATTTGCAAAATATATAATAATGTAGGTGACAAACAGTAGAGCAAAATGTGTAATATTTTTCTCTTAAACTGAAATTCTTCTTATTATTATTCTTCAACTTGCATTTTTTATGAACACTTGGAGGCAACAACCTTTCAACACAATACTGCCTTAAAAGAGTAATGTTAGAGCGCCACACATTAACATTCATTTAGAGTTCAGTTTCTTCCTATCTGGCAAATATACATCCCATATTCACTCTTCTTTAAGCTCCGGTCTGGTCTCCACCAGCTCCTGAGGGAAATATCTCAGTAAAACTACAACTATAAGCTATAAGATATCAAAATGCTCAGTGGAGCCTGGTGTTGTGATCATTTTTTTGTGGGTTTGTCACTATAGTGACCTTTTGTCACAATAAATAGTCCTGTCAGCTGTTGTTCATATAAAGATGTGAATCAGTGCAGCTTAGAGTATAATATTTGAGCAAAACACAATTTAAGATATGTTGGTTTCAGTTTGATTTAAATAAACTGTTGAAGTTATTCTATCTTGTTTTATGTCATATTTGGCTTATGTTTGGATGCTTTTTATCTGCATTACCTCTGGCTGAAAGACACATTATTTTAGGGCCAATAACGGTAAACAACTCCACCACAGACAGTGCAAAGGAATAAATAACCACAAACATTATATTTCTACTGATGCATACAGTACACTCTGCGGAATTTGAAGAAGCATTTCTTTATAATGTGCACATTTCAAAGCCCCTGCAGGAGAAGCCTGGCTGAATACAGCCACCAAGGTTCCGCTGTTGTAGTTTTTGGTGACTGTGGCCTCAAAGAGCGTGAGTATGACTCTTTGTTACAGGTCACTGCTCGGCTGCTGTGACCTACACATTGTGTGCACCTTTCTGGAGCCATAATGAGCACTTTGCTGTGACAGTGTCTTTGATTTTTTTTTCATCCTTTGTTCGCTTGGTTTACATCTGGTCCACACGGGGATCCTTATGTTCCATCAATTGGCAATCAATTCTGCAGCCTTGCCCATCTTTCTTTAAAAGAAATAAAGGAGCACTATCGCCTGTACTCACACCACAGTGCCCACACGTAAACATATCAACTTTTGCACACAAACACACTCACATTGATGAAAGATTTATTTGAAATTGTTAATATAAGCTGTGGGGACCTGCTTCCACTCCGTGCATATGAGTTTTGGGGCTCTGAAACCTGAAAACAGTGTTCTAACAACTGCCTAAAATGCAGACCCATGGAAGTAATGAGCCATAACACTCTCTCCACTACAAATCATCTTTTATTCAAAACTTTAAAGAAGAAAGTTAAACCTGTGCTTGCAGACTAACTTGAAATGGTCAGCTACAATGTAGCCCTAAAATGCATGGATCTAGAAACAACACCACTGACCAAAGATTGTCTGTTCCTATTAGGTGCTTGTCCTTCACAAGTCGTTATGGCTTCAAGGCAGGGTCAGAAGAAAAGGCACCCAATCCCAAGACATGATGATGAAACCGTGACAAATCAACTCATTCTTTCACTCCAGATTCTGCAAGTCGCTGTGCCACGGGATTTCAGCTTCTCTTTGAGTTTGGGAGCTAGTGAATCTCGCGACTCAATGGTGCTCATTTCTCTAATCCAATCCCTGTATAAAACCTCCCTTTGAACGTCTACAGAAAAGCTGAAAGGCAGCACATATCCCTCCCTCCGTTTGCCTGCTCCCTGCCTCTCTGATCCGCGCTCAGTGTCCGACGCACAAGCGCGCGGATAGAGCGGGGATAGAGCAGATCTAATTAAGTTTGCTGATGGTGAAAGTGATGATTATTCTGCAGGAAAAAAAAAGGGGGAGAGGGAGGAAGAGGGCAAAGAAGATAACGAGAATAACTGCAGGGGGCTGAATACACCCTCTCCTCCTCCTCCTCCTCCTCCTCTTCCTCATGATGATGATCATCATCGCCACCACAACCATCATTAAAGTCATTATTCAAATGATTCAAACTTTTTCGGGATTCATTTGCTCAAAGATAATATCCATTTTACCACTCTATATTTAGTAGATTCTCTCTACACCCAATAGAGCCCCGGAATATTAATTTTATTAACTCAAATTCCATTGTGATAACTATTCCTCTGGGTCTTTTCATAACTCAGCTTTCCCAAATATCCTTTAACTCCAAGTGTAATTTCTTTGATAAGAGGTTTTATTTTTTCCCCCGATTTTTATAAAAATGGATTTGCCATTTATCAGCAGAATTAAACACGGACAATAAGAAGAGAAGGGAAATCAGCTGATTAAAAATAACATTTTATCCCGGTTTCCTGCAGTTTTTTTTCTTCCCTTTCCTCCGATTTTGTCTATAAATTGTGTTAATCTGAACTGCAGGTGACATCGATCGGTTCTCTAAAATGAGGCATCTAACTCCAACACAGCAGTATCCTTACTGACCATTCCCTCACCCAGCCTGCCCCCCCTTCTGAACACCTCCTACTCTCACTTCATCCAGTTACGTCCCAGCCAACCGGGAGTGCGCTCGCTGCTGGAATAAATTAAATTGCGGCGGTGTGGTACAGCAGGGAGGGAGAGAGCGCCCCGAATGCCATTCACACATTCCGTGCGCTGGGAGTCCAGGCACCGTCAGCAGCAGCAGCAGCAGCAGCTCTCCGTGCGTCCTGCATGCGCCCCGAGCGCGTCTCTCCAATCAAGAGCAGAAATGAGTTAGAGAACAGCAGCTCGCCACGCTTCCCACACGCGGGTGGTCCCTGCGCATCCACCGAGTCCCAATTATACGAGTTTGTTTAAATAATAAGTCTACCTGGAAGCTTTGACTATCTTAACGCATCGTGTCCGCTGCGCCTCATTCCGTTGGAGTGGACCTACAGTACCTACTGCGCATCGTCAGAGGCTCTCCGTTGGAAATATACCTCTGTGAACAAGAGAAGCACGCTCTGAGGACCTTGGATGGCATCCTCTGTTTTGCTGAAGTTGCGCTGCCACTGATTGTGCGTCTGTTTGCATTTGTGGCAATAACCTCTCCCGAAAGAAGTCCTTTTTCCAATGCCGCCCCGTCTGTGCGCTCAGCAGAACCAGAGTTCACGGTCCGACCAGGGGATTTTGCGGAGACTAATTCCGACCAGTCAAGGACCACAATACTTGCAGAATAAGGTAAAGACCACAAGGTTATATGTATATAGGTTATCTATGTAATTTTTAAAACTGTAAGTAAAATGTAGTCATATGAAAATAGTTTTATTAACAAAACAATTTAAAGACCTCATTTTTAAACATTATTAGAATTATAATGTACAATAACCAGACTGTAGCTATAATAATCTCTAATAAGAGTGGCCCATGATTTCTGACCGAACACTACTTTAAAAATAAAACCCCTTCAGTTCACCTTTATCCCTCCCACGCCCAAACCAACATTACAACCTCATGTTCTCTGTGTCCACTTTGCCTCACATCTTCTCCCTCTTCCTCTCCTCCCTCCCTCCAGCAGGACTCATCTGGAGTGCAGGGAGAATGAGGAGTCACCGGGGCCGGGGGAAGCAGCATGAGTGGCCCGTGCATCTCCATTAGACTGACGGCCCTCATGTTTCTATGGAAGTGGTTAACACTAAGCCTGCTCCAGAGCTGGTCGTGGGTAGGGGCTGGTGCGGCGGACTCTGCCGGGGCGGGCTTCAGCGGCTCCACCGGGCCCCTGGGCTGGCTCCTGTCGGACAAGGGTCCTTTTCACAACTCGCAGGAGTTTGTTGATTTCACAGAGCGCTACCAGCAAGGATTCACCACCAAGTACAAGATATACAGGTGAGAGACGGTGGACGGCACTGTCAGGGCTGAATGCACTGTCTGCAAAGCTGGGGTGCCTGAAAAGAAGGTTGTTTGTAAAATCTGAATCTCAGCCCAAAATGAACCAAATGTAGCATCTATGGCATTATTTAGTCTCTGATTGTTGTGGCCCTGCTTGAGGGGAAAATACACTTTTCTTTACACTATAAAAGATCCAGATTTAGTAGGTGGCAAACTGTGGGATGAAACATTGAGAAGATTACTTAGGGGAGTTTTGCATACAAATGAAAGCTCTGCGTGCATTCTGTATAGATGCAAGCCTCTTTGGGTGCGACTGCCTGCTTTCCCCTTTTTTTGTGGGCAGCAGAGACATATGGTTTGAGTATGATACAAACTCCCAGAATGGTGCATATCAGTGGAAACTCAAAGTGGAGATACCGCAGGAGGGTTTGGGCAAAGCAGTGGGACATAACAGATATCTGACTGAGCCAGTTGATGTGTGACAGTGGGTAGACAGGATGGCTTCAGAAGTGTGTGGTGTGAAGTATAGTGGGTGTGTGCTTAGGAGCAGCAGGGTATTGTTTGAAAGCATGCTATGATGTATGATGTCATTTTTCTTCAGATCTTTTGAGGCAATAGTGAAATTAAAGACAAAACAGAGATACATGCGCATGTAATTTGAAGTGACTGTCTTCTTTGTTTGGATTTATGGCATCCTCTTTTAAAACTGTCTATTTAACAAAAGTGGCAATTCTAAATATTGCACCTCAAAAGAAGGGATGATCTCTTTTTTTCATTTCACACATTCCCTCAAAGTTACCATGAACTTGATGGATTTACTGTACATACACAAGAAAAAATGTAGTACCAGCAGCCAAGGTCAAGGTCCCTTTATAGGCTGGGAAACTGCTCTGATTAAGTGAAACCTTCGCCTTGATAACGCTTTTTTTTTTCTAATGAGAATAGCCTACATGAAAGCTGGTTCACTGATTTTATGAAAAGTTTTTAGCCGACAACCACGGCAATAAGCCTCCTGGAGGATACTGTACATTATGTCTGATGGTGACAGGATGTGCATACTTGAGTGTCTGTATTCGCGGCTGTATGTGCCAGGTAAGTGTTTTGATACTCTGTGATGAGAGTGATGTCGGAGTGTCCGCAGCCGTGCAGTGGAAGAGCTGTTGCCAGCGGAACAGAGGGTTGACTGACACTGGCATTTAGTAGCTGACAGGGGTGACAATGCCAGGCAAAGATAGAGAATGTAGCGCTGTTGGCTTCCCCACATCCATCATTTCCTCCCTCACTGCCTCTCTGTTGGTGTCTTCTTTCGAGTTCGCAGGATGTCTTCATACCTCCATTCCTCCCTTCTTGTTTTCTGTCCTCCTTCTGCACCCCACCCAAGGCATGCAAATCCAACAGATATTTGCATATACATGATTAATAGTTTTACATTAGTAAAACTCACACAGACTTTCTTTTCCAGAACTGTAACTCTAAGCCCTTTCGAGCATTTTTTATTTTTTTTTTAACCTACAGTGTGACTTATATTGACCTCTATCGGGAAATATCTTGAAATGCAAACTTGACAAGCCTATAACAATCCTTTCCCCTTGGGCTACACTGGCCTTTTCAGTTTCCTCTGAAAAATAAGTCTGCTTGCTAATTAGTGCAAAAATCCACTAGAAGCTCAAGTGAAAAGGTGAAACATCTTGATGGTAAAATGTGAAATAATGTTCCTGCATTGTCATTTGCCTTCTTTGGCTTGCAAAACAAGTCTTTTTAGGCTTTAAATATCTTCTAGCAGTAGCTCTGTCATCCATCGCTGAGCAGTCGAGGATGCTGAGAACTGAAGAGATCAGAAGTACCTTCCAACTGAAATGGGATATGCAGTTATTATTATTATTGTCATTATTATTATTATTATTTTTGGTCCAACACAGACTCATGAATTTTAAAAGTCAAAGAAAAATGCAGACAAAGTAATCTTTGAGTCATTTGTATTGATCAGCAACACTGTTCTGCTTCGTGTCAACACTTTGCAGCCCTTTATGGGTCAGTAAATGTCTTGTTATTGCCTTTTGAATTGTCACCGTTACGCATCGTAATCCAAATCCAAACCCCAAACTGGCCTCATGAGGAACTGAGGAGCAGCCAAAATGTTCTCTGTTTGGACAGATTTCCTCAGTGCTCATGCAGATTTTTGCTCCTTCAGAATACAGAAACAGCAAACACATACAACACATGCAACGCACTGAAAGACACGCAACGAGAAATAGCGATACAAAATTAGTTTTAATTATCCACCAGGTTAAAAGAAGGTTAAATAAAAACATTAAAATCTCACCCTTGCCTCTGCCTCTATCTCCATGTCTATCTCGCATTTCCTCTCTTGTTGCCCCCCCCCGCTCCCTCTTTCTCTCTCCCCCCTGTGTCGAATGATCTCAAACCAATTGCTCTCTCTTGCTCATAAATATTCTCCAGAGCTCAGTTGGCCTTTCCCGTCAGGGGACAGGGGACAGGGGATAGGGAGTCGGGGACGAGGAGGAGTGCTGGAGGAGTTAGAGTACAGGAGGGGAGAGCAGAGAGGAACCACGGCGTTACCTCCCCCTGCTGGCTGGTCAATGCAACGGAACAGCTTGTGGTCATCTCCAATTATAATTAGGAAAAAACTGAAAAATTGAAAAAGAGTATTTTTCAAGGTAGAAGTTGAAATATGTTACATTTTTTACACTAACAACGTTTCATCTTTTGTGTGGACTACATTAAAGGGCAGATTAAAAAGCTTAGGGATTCACAGCTTTCTGTCACAGCGGTGTCCTGTGAAGCATTGTAAAAATGTGATATTCAGACTGCAAATCCACCGAGTGAAGGAAGTTTTCACTTTGCAAGGTCTGATCAAATACAATAATGGGAGCGATAAATTAATGGATTCAGCGAATTCAAAAGCGGTGAAAAACAGGCACAGGGGCACTTAACGGTATTACTTCCACTGTGATTGCAGAAAAATGCACCTGTTATGTCAGGCATAATGGCACTTTTAAAACACCTATTCATTCACTCATTCTTTGTCCTCTTCTGGTGAGGGTCACAAATCTCACAACAGCTTTGTGGCTTTTATTTCATACTGCAAGCAGTCAGCTGGCTCCTTGTTTACTCGTCCACCTTGAAATTTATTAAAAAAAAATGAAAATAAAAAAAAAAGCACAAATGAAGCAATTAACAGCTTTTCTCTGACTGCTCTTCTTGTTCACACCGATAGCACCAGGTTAAATGAGAAATATGCAGTTGCAAGACGTGCCACAAAGGTGGAAATGAGTGTAAAAGGAACAAAAGCATGTTTCATTTAATAATTTAGAAGCTTGTGGTGTTGTGAAATCATCTCTGCGAATCTGAGAAGCTGTTACTCTGTGATTTCTTGTGTGTAGTCGAGCCATATCCACAGACAGAAGCATATTAGTCAAAATGTCACCTCCTCCCTTCTTCCTCTTCATGGGCCATAACTTTTATATCACGCCTCATCTCCTGTGTTTTCTCCTCTCTTTTCTCCTGTCAGCCCACTGGCTATTACATTGACTTCATTTGATGTAAGGAGTCGTCTCTCATAATTATGGAGTGATTAGTGTTTCAATTATATGCAGACATGTTTGTAGAGAGGATAGGCTGCAGAGGCATGATGTTATAATACCTGTCATTTCGCTTAGCCCATTGTGCTTCATCCGTCTCATGTTTACGACTTTGCTATTGTGTTTTGAAATCTTCAGATGGGAAAGCGCATTTAAAAGAGATTATGAAATGGGTTGGAATAAATGGCTATGCAGCTCCAATGAAAAAGCGATGAAGAGAAGAAAACAGAAGCAGCATTAAGGAGCATGAGACCATAATGCACTGCAATGCAACACAATACGATATTAAACCGTATTATAGAAAATACTGCGGGTGCACAGGAATTGATTATTTAATGATACAGCTGGAATATAAATCTCTAATAGAGGCTAAACATATTGCCTTTCTAATATGAGCATCTTTGTCAGATCAAAGGAACAGCTTGATATTAAAAAAAAGAAAAATCTAGGTTGTGGTGACGTCATTGATTCAATGTTTGCATACAGTGCAATCCTTTCGTAGTTTGCCCACTTAAATTCAAATTCATTCTCTGTGCAATCAGCGACTCACCAGTTATACTCTGAACGAAGACACAGGCATATATGAGTCTGGATCTACTTCATGTTTGCTTGAATGCACAGCTATAATGGGAGACAGTCACGCCTGGAGTGCAGTTTGGATCATCCTCCCATCCACATAAACTGCATCCAAAGGCAAACAAATTAAACTAATTGCCCAACAAGTTCTAATATTTAAAGGACAAAATAAGTTTATTGGTGCCAGAGGCGGCGGGTGAAATTGTTTCCAGGTGGGGCCGTGCCATATTTAACCACTCTCAGTAACTATCCTCATATGATTTAGTATCAAACAAATGCAAATAAATGCAGTTTGTCAAAAGTACTTCACTGATTTAATTATTTCTTGATGCCAGCCTTAAAAAAAAAAAAAGTCAAGGCATTTTACCCTCTCGCACACAGCGAACACAATCACTTGAACACTACAGTATGGCATGAAAAACACAGACCACTTGTAATAAAGTTTATAGACTTTGTAAAGGAATATCAAGTAGTTATACTTTTGACTGGTATAATGTGCAGCACTTGCTCATTGATTCTGCTTGGGGCAATAAAATAACAGTCTTTTTTACATCAGGTCGGAGGATGCTGATTTTCTAAATTTACATGGCTGTGTACCGGGTATGCTGCTCCGTTGATGGGGCAAGGTTTCTCTTTCTCTTTGCAGATGAAATGTTCATAGAGAGACCAAACATAAACCTACCGCAGAATAATGACTTCCATTTTGTACATTCCACATGCTATTGAGTATGATGCATATTTTAAGCAAAAAAGGATTTTGTTTATCAAAAAGAAAACTTTCAACGTTCCTCCTGATCTTTCATTCCCATTTGAAAAACA